TACTTTTTAGTTTAGTTCTCATTTACATCTGTTTAATAATCTTCAGTTTCTCTTTGGCTTAATAGCAACTTCTTTTACTGTATCATATTAATGGCTTGCTATAGCCTGGGTGCTTTAGACTTGAAATCTCTGGTTTTGTCTATAAAATCAGTTATCACATAATGACATAGAGACCTTTCTCTGAAAAAGTAGAGAGGGTTTGTTTTCCTAAGTTCCAGCTCTTGCAGACATCTCATCTGAATAACTCTTTGGTGGTGGTGGTTTTGTTTCGCTTTCATTCCCATGCAGTATGAGGCCAGATGACTCTACTTAGCCTGACCATGTATCTACTCACCAGTCTTAGTAGTATGTTTCTACTCTTCCCTATTTTTAAAAACATGGTGCCATGCTTAATCGGAAACTACTTTTTTGATGAGACCTCTGATTCAGTATTCTTGGAGGTCATCTGGGTCTCCCTGAGTTGAAATTCATTAGATAGGAGTTTTGCATTACCGTTATTCTCATACTGCTTCCTTATCGACAGTCTTCCTTGTTGCTTTCTCATTGGTGATACTAGGGCAAAAGTCTGTCTTTCATTGTTGGGATGCTCTTCCTTACCTAAAGAAATTTCTCTCATCCTGGCTAGGAATGAGTGAATGACTGTCTTAGTCATTAGCTGTAGTCGTTAGCCTGCTCACCATTCAAAGACAGAATTTAATCATGAAGAGTGCATTCTTTATAGTTGTACAGGGTCTAGCTGGTACAGAATTTTTTTTTCCCTTAATAGCCTGTATGGTGCTGTGTTTTGGACTTGTAACTAAACCAGTGTTGATAACACACCAGTGTTTTAGCTATGCCTGAACGGTGCTTGCACAGCATCAAGGCTTTCTCTTCTTCCCACTCCATCCACCCCCCAGCAAGAAGAATGGAATGTGCGTGAGGCTGGAAAGGGGATGCAGCCAGAACAGCTGATCCAAATTGACTGAGGCCATATCCCATGCCATATAACATCTCTGGGGGTGTAGAGAATCTGAGGCCCAGAGCACCCCAAGTGAAAAAGACATTAGCAACATACGAGAAGGGTTGAGCTGTTTCGGAAAGAGTTGGTACCTAAGCACAGCTCCTCATGGCTCCTTGGCTTAGCTGCAGACTGGAGCTAACCTCTAACATGGTTTTCTCAAATGGTAGAAAAAATAATTCCTTCTGTAATCAAATGAAGTATGAGGTTCATCCAACAGACTAGTTGTAGACTGGATGATCTCCAAAGGTGCCTTCTAACCCCTACCTTTCTGTGATTCTGGGTCATAATCTGTGAGAATCATGATTCTGTGATAATCTGGTCCCAGTGGAGCAGATTATCCATCCATTTTCCTCCTCTCCCATTCACTTAAATCCAAACCAACCTGACTTAACTCATACTGTCTTTTCACTAAAAGAAATCTCATGGCCTCAGTTACTGAGGAACAAGAAGCAAACCTCTACTTCAAGAGTTAGGTTGCAGTCCTGACTTGCACGTCCCCTCTGTCTCTCCTAGCCTTTTCTGTACTAGCAGGTGGGTTCATTTTTGGCCTGAACCATGCAAAAGTTTACAAATGCATCAGGTGTTTCTTTCTGATCTCTGAAATCCTGGTCAGTATTGGTAAAATTCTGACTGTGCCTATGTAGTGGGTCCTGTGATTAATAATATTTACAATTTTTTCTCCTTGTTACCTAGTGAGTTTTGTACTTGTGTTTGCATCTTCCATTATTTGTTTTTCTTTCCTTTGTTTATACATGCTGTAAGTCCTGTAAATAGCTGATGTTTCTTCTGAAAGTTTAAGTTATGCCAGATTCTCAACCTTCATTCAGAGCAAGTTGCTTCTAGTCTTTCTGGTATCAGGGAAGTGCTTAAAAAGACCTTAAAAAGAAACTGTAGAAATTCAGATACCTGGCCCCACGTACTTGTTCCTGCATTTGGTGTTCTATAAAAGTTTGGGTGCAAATTTGTAACCACTGCATCTTTACTGGATTTGATTTTCTTGGGTCTATCAATTTAAGATGGCACTTTCTTATGCTTAATATAGGTCACCCTGCTCTCATTTAAGTTTCTGTTTTGGGATTTAGACACTAATATGCCACTCTACATCAAAATGAGAACTGAAGTAACCTCTTATGTGCTGTTCATCCAAGCTATCACTGCTGCAACAACGTCATCAGCGGGACACAGAAGTTAGTCCTTGCACACTCAACTGGGTAAGGCATGATGCAGGGTCATAGTTGATCAAGGCATGCCAGGAGAGGGACCTGTGTTGGATCAGGTGGTATTTTGCCTTATCCCAGGGTGAGTCTGTGTGCCAGAGTATGGAATTTGTTTAGTTGTCTCTTTAGAAAGCAGTCGCTGTGCAGGCCCAAGCTAAATGGGCTGATAAGGTCTATCAAATGCTGGATTTCTGATCACTGCAGAACACTTAACACCTTCTTTTATGTTGTTTCTCACCTACTGTTTTCGTGTTTCCTCTCCCAGCACTCACGCTTGTCAACACTCGCATAGATGGATGTACTAGACATCCTGGTTTGTGTGCATCAGACACTGAATGATTTAATAAAAACTATAATATTCACAGAAACCTGACCTCAGCTACTGCTCCCTGAGATAAGATGCTTCCTTTTAGTAAGGACAGAGCAAAACTTTTCCTGACATTCCTTAGATATGTTTCTTATTCAGGAAAGTTGCTTCATAGTACAGAACTCACATAGCAGGCGGAGTAGAACCACTCAGAGCATGCTCTCCAGAATGCCTTCTGCATCCTAACAGGCCACCTCAGCAGAATGTATTATTGAAGCACATGCCAGCAATCTATGTTAAACTTCAAGAAGGTGATGTGTAGTGTATAAATCCTTCATTTTTAAATTCTAATATATGTAATAAATATTTGTGTGCAGAGACAGGGGATGATGCTGGTTGCTGAAGAGCAGCAGAATTTGTGCAAGCTAGAAGAAAAGGTTAGTGTTGTTAAACTGGTACTGACACCTGCAGGCCAACTTGCTTTTCTTGGTGGTGGGTATTACTTGTGTGAAGTGCTAGTTGTTAGACATGAAGTTCTGTGACAGACAGTGCCTGTCTGCATGGATAACAGGAGGTTGTAGTGCATCTGGTCTTCACTGTTAGGGATGATGATGTCTGATTTGTTGAAGACAATTAGGATAGAGTAAGAAAAAGTGGGTAATATAAATTATTTGCAGTCAAAAGTATTGTTTTATATTAGACCAGTTGACATACCTGGAAAACTGGGAAGGATTTGCATGCAGAAAGCTTTCAAGCTTGAAAGAGAAATTGCAATATTCACATTAAATTCAGACTGAGAATATTTGTTCGAAGGTTAATTAATCTATTCATCCATCCTGTGAGAGGAAGAAGGGTTGGTACCTATGGATTTAAGGAAGAGTAGGGATATGGGGCAGAGAGACAGGAACATTTGCTAGCTGGAGTCGGTAGCTTTTGGACGTTATTTCAGGTTATCATCTCCCTCCTGCTGATAACTAATTCCCACGAAGTATTGAACATCAAGTTCTTTATAATGAACCTAATGGTCATAAAGTACCATTCTTAACAGTGAAAAGGTTTACTCAAATAGTTAGGTAGGGACTGTATTTCTTAAATTAGAAATATGAAGGCTTTAAAATAGTAAAACCTACAAGTAGGCCAAGGATGCATGAAGAAAAGTTATTTTCATTGTTTTTGTATATAGAAAGTTGCTTAAAAGAAAGAGTTGAAACAAGGTTGGTGTTCCTTTGGCACAGTGATTGGCAGTGGATGCACGGTAACCATTTTTAGTTTGCTCAGCAGTTCCTCTGTGGTGGTGCTCCTGTGCACAGTAGGAAAAATCCAGTGGCGTATTGGGCAACAAGAAACCACATTTAGAAGAGATGCATCTGCCTGCTTTCATGCCCATGCAAAGTAAATCAGAGTGCCAAGCAGTATGTTTTCTTTCATTGCCTGTTGCTACTAACTCCTTTGATCAGCGTATGCTATACTGACCTCAATCATTTGTGGCAAAAGCAGCACATCATCTTCGTTGGAATGTCAGCTTGGTGAAGAAAAGTACATTAAAAGAATTTCCTGCATGCAAATGCTGAAATAAATGGGTCTTGGAGCCTGGATATATCAAAGGGCTGGGCTGCATTTATCTTTTTCCTTGCAAGCATATCCAGTAGTTTATTGTGATTGGTGGGGACTTGAGAGTTATAAGAAATATTTAACAGTGATTTCCCTGTTTCCCCCACCCGTCCTCTGCCTCCCCATTTGCTTCATCAGTTCAACAACTAAGGGATGTGCAGATAGTTATACTATTAATAACTGTCCTTGGCTCTTCATGCTTTGCCAGTCACCTGCCTTGTCTTTGGTCTGGGGATGGTTGTTTTTCATCTAGTCTGAGCTATTGGCTTTGCTCTGGATGATTGATAAACCCTTGTCAATGTATCAGTTGTATCAAGGCATATGACTTTTACTTCTGACAATTTAATGGGATAATGCATAGGGTGTACATGTAACAGACCTGGTTCTAGGTGTCTTGTGCAAACTACTTCCTGGGCTATAATTATCTGTTCTTTAGAGGAGCATGAGGACCTGTATGGGGCAGGAATAGGTGTGTGTGTTTCTCCTACAAGCTGGTTCTGCTCTTCATGTAATGCTGTTGTACTATTGTAAACCATAAATGCTAATTTTACATGTATTTTGGTGAAATTCAATGATACAACGTATCTTCAGCTTTCAAATAAATGAAACTCCTTGTTCTTAATATCACTGTGGAAAATTTCTGCTCCCTCTTTCCATCAAATCTCCTTATTTCCCTTCTCTTCCCTGTCTCCCCACATTGCTGTACCAGGATGTGTCACTATGGTTTATGTTCAGCACTTCAGCTTCATTATAGCCTTTTTCTTTGCCATGCACTGTTGAGGTTACTGATGCTTTTCAATATGTTACTGATTTGTGGCTTTGCATATATGATGTACATTCATTTCTTTCTTGTCCTTTGTTCCAGAGATGGTGATGTTGCTGGAATGGTGGTCAGGCACTGACTGTACCCTCTACACTGACCCAGAGAGCTACCACAAGTATGGGAAGGAGAATGCCATCGTAATCCTCAATCACAACTTTGAAATCGACTTTCTCTGTGGTTGGAACTTTTGTGAAAGATTTGGGGTCTTGGGGGTGAGTTTTGTGTAGCATTTAAACTTTTGCCTTCTTGGATGCTGGGGCCGGGGAGGGGGGGGACAACAACACCAAAACAGATTCTTTGTGGTTTTGAAAGTTAACAGATCTGTGCTGGACTTTCACTTGGACGCTGTCCAGACTTAGGGAGGTGAACCTAAAGCAATGCAGTGCAGGTATGTGGAGTACTGAGGCAGGATTGCGTGGACACTCACAGAGATGTTAAGAGCATTGCAGTTAAAGCTGATGAAGGAGATATTTTTCTTAACCTGTGGTAACTATTAGGGTTCATTGTGCTGCAGAAAGATGAGCTGTTCTGTGATTCTTTTCTAGTAAATTGTAGAATTTGTTTGCTTTCTCCAGCGTAGTCTTACAAATCCGCAGTTGGAGTTTGAATGATGTAGTCTCTGTCTTGGAACGAAAGAGCTGCCACCTCAAGTGCAAGCAGTAACCAGGATATAGTTACTAAGAGAAGGGGGAGGAATGAGTTACCTGTAGTTCAGTACACTGTTGCATTAGGCTAGGAGTATGTGTACATTTGTTTTCAGGGTTGGTTTTTTGTTTCCCCTGTCAGCTTCTGGGGATAATTTAAACCCTCCTAAGACAGCTTGACTTAATTCTGTGGTGGTGACGACATTCTCTGCCTAGAAGGGATTTAAATAAGAGTTCTTCCTTCCTAATAAAGCAGACTTAATACCTCATTTTAGTGGTCGTCTGCAGCATCGTCTTCTAACTTTGCTACTGGTCGTTGTCAAAAATCTTGACCTTGGATTGTGTGGACCTATGATACTTTGTGGCCTTCCCCTTTGGACTCTTAGCATTTTCTGGACATGTAGGCACCATTCCAGTCACTTTGAAAGTATAATAATGACAGCCTGCTTAAAAAAATAAAAAGAGGCCTTAAAACTGGAGGGAAATGAACCTAAGCATTACAGGCCCTGCATATTACGAAAATGGCTGTTGGCTCCTGGTTGCTAGGACTTGATGTCTAGGGCTTGAGCACAGAGCTGGAGGATAGCATGAGACAGCAGGAAATGTAGGGAAGCCTGTTCCCGGCAGGCATATGTACATGCCAGAAACATTCTCCTTTTTATGTACTCATTACACAGTGGTGCTTTAGAATAGTCTTATCTAATTCTGTGACCCTGGTGGCCACAGCTCTCCAAATAAATCTGTATTTTAGAGGGTCAGGTGGATTTTTTTTGTACAAACTAATAGGGGCCTACAAGGGCAAAAATATCTTGTTTTACTTTGATGCTTTGTGGTTGGATTAAATCTCATTAGCTTTAATAATTTTTTTTTATGGTTTCCCAAGGTAATCAGGATTATGTTTTAATTTTTTTATTTTGTTCCCTGTGCATAAGAAAGCCACTACATAGAAGTGTAACTGTTGAACAATTCCTGTGCTGCACTAACTGAAAATAATGTTTCCTTTTTTTTAGATGTTTACAGTTATTACTCAGTTTGTATTTTTGCTAATCTTAGGATACTTCCAGGAACTGATACATGTTTGGTTTTGGTTTATTTTTTATTATCCTGAGTAATGTACGGTGGTTTTACTTTCCAGAAACTGTTCCAGGAAGAAAAAATTCCCATGTGTTCTCATTTGTATAGATGTGTTTACACACAGCAAAGTGGTTCCTTTCCCTTTTGGGGCAACCAGTTGAGGTTCATCTTAAACCAGATTAAAAAAAATTTAATTGAAAATGACACACAATCAATTTCCTGATTGTATTGTTGGCATTGGCATACTGGTACTTGGCTTGGGGTAACACAGGAGTGGGTGAATAGGTAGGGATGCAGGTTGTAGCTTGGTTTGACTTTGTGCTGCCTTGTGCGAGGGTGCAGTGTGCCAAGCTTCAGGATTTGGTGTGGCAGTCCAATTAGGAATGTAAGAACCATTAATCTGAGTGCTGATGTTTGGGAAAAGGAGTTCCAATTAAACAAGTGACCAGAGAGGTTTTTTAAGTGGTTTTCCCACCTCCAGCATCTTGTTGCTCAGGGAGTTTGTGAGCCAATGGGGTTTTATATTTATGCCATTTAATTTTATACTCCATGAAGTTTCTATGCAAATTTTAGGTACCTACCAACATCTTACTAAGCTGATGTTGTGTCCATCACTGCTGAAGAAGAAATCTTGCACATGCTGTCCTATCTCCTGTATCTGTTCTGATGCTTATTTGCCCTCTTTTGTCATGTTTCAGACACTCTTTATTTCTCTCCTGCACTAACTAATCCAATGAAGGAAGGAGAGATGACTGGGGAGGTGGAAGAGGGAGAAGGTGAAGACAACTTTGGGCTGAAGGAGTTGGGACTGATCATGCTTAGTTGCAGCAGGCAGACAGAATGGCTTTGTCCTGTCATCCAGCTGTACCCTGTGTCCCTGGCAAACACCAGCAGTGCTCTTAACAGTGTCACAAGCATGGGTCCAAACTCAGTATTTTGCAGCTTGAACTTTTATTAAATGAAGCCATTAAATGCTGTAATTTTTTGCTTGGTTTTGCTTATTTAAAAACAAAATTAAACTTCCTTGAACCAGTCTTGCCCCTTCTGGCCCCAAAAGAAGAAAAAGTCTTTACTTTTCTCTCTTTCTTTTTAATGATGACATGAAAACTGCCCCTCCTGGTCTTAGTTGCAGCATTCAATCTGTGCATTGTTCTGCTCCTTTTTTTGTCTCTCCTCCTGTACTGGCTTTCTCCTTTTTCCTTATAGGCAAATTGCCAGTCTAGACAGATTTATAGTGCTCCATCAATGTGGATTTGTTTTTATCAATGTGGTTTCAGGTTTTTTTTCTGTTTGCAGGGGGTTGAGAGGGAGTGGCATAGTCTCTTGCGTGTATTTGTTAGGTTTGTGAACCTGAGTCCTCTTCTAATGACTCAGGTCTTGTACTTCGATGGCATGAGGGTCTTTGCTTTCATGAAGGTTTTTAAATGGCCTGAGGAAGGAAATCTAGCAAAAAGAACCAAAGATGGTGCTAAGATTTTGAGAAGAGTGTGTGTGTGTGTGGAGGAGGTGCAAAAAAATAAAGGGCTATTCTAACATTTACTTTACTTTTACATTTTTTTCTTCAATACGATACTTTTGGAGCACCCGTTGAAAATGCGAGGGGGTACTGGGTTGACTGTTGACAGCTGAGTGAGAGCCAAAGATCTATTCATTTATAATGGAGAAGAAGAAAATCACATGAAGAAGCAATCCTGTGCTCACTCTTACTCTTTCAAGTTATTGTGGCTGCGGAGGTTGTCTTGCTAGCTGCAGCTGGACTGTAGGCTGCTGAAGGTACTGATGTGTAATTGCAGCACCAAACCTTAGAGGATTTTTGGTTGTTGTTGGAAATGGGAAGAAGGAAGCAAACTTCACAAAAACTGGAAGTCGATAGGGATTTCAGACAAACCTGTATTCAGCCCAAACTATTAATCACCTCTGTATTCCACTTGCGGGTTTTTTTTTTTGTAAAGTGATCATCCTGTTTTGTTTTCAACCCTTGACACCCATCAGCCACACACCCGCCTTCCTGTGCTGCCAGACCTTAGTGATGTGTGAGGGAGGGCGGGAATACAGGGGTGCTTGATGCCAAGACATGCTGCCGTGGCCATCCATGGGGCTAGCTGAGGCCTCGCTCCACTGACACAGAGGTGACTGCTACAAGCTGAAGGGAGGGAGGAGCAGAGCTGCCAGCTTGGCTTTCTGTGGATTCAGAAACAGCGTAGCCCCAATAGAATCATAGAATCACAGAATGATTTGGGTTGGAAGGGACCTTAAAGATCATCTAGTCCCACCCCCCCTGCCATGGGCGGGGACCCCTTCCACTAGACCAGGTTGCTCAAAGCCTCATCCAGCCTGGCCTTGAACACTTCCAGGGATGGGGCATCCACAGCTTCTCTGGGAAACCTGTTCCAGTGCCTCACCACCCTCTCTGTGAAGAACTTCTTCCTGATACCTAATCTACACCTCCGCGCTTTCAATTTAAACCCATTCCCCCTTGTCCTGTCACTACAGGCCCTTGTAAAAAGTCCCCCCCAGCTTCCTTGTAGGCCCCTTCAGGTACTGGAAGGCTGCAATAAGGTCTCCCCGGAGCCTTCTCTTCTCCAGGCTGAACAAGCCCAATTCTCAGCCTTTCGCCATAGCAGAGGAGCTCCAGCCCTCTGAGCATCTTCATGACCTCCTCTGCATTCTCTCCCACTGGTCTATATCCTTCTGATGTTGGCAGCCCCACAGCTGGATGGAGCACTCCAGGTGGGGTGGCAGAAGAGCAGAGTAGAGGGGCAGAATCCCCTCCCTCAACCTGCTGGCCACACTTCTCCAGATGCAGCCCAGGATACCGTTGGCTTTCTGGGCTGCCAGCACACACTGCCGGCTCATGTTCAGCTTTTCGTCCACCAGTACCCCCAAGTCCTTCTCCTCAGGGCTGCTCTCTATCCACTCTCCACCGAGCCTGCTTGGGATTGCCCCAACCCATGTGCAGGACCTTGCACTTGGCCTTGTTGAACTCCATGAGGTTGGCAATGGCCCACCTCTCCAATAGGACAGTGCTTCATCCACACCAGTGGTTAATAATAAGAGGCAGGGCTGAGCCAGGGTGACTCTGATGGTTGTGTTGCTCTGTTTTTCCACCCCATGCCTGTGCAGTGGCTGGGGGGAGATGCTGGCTGTGTGTTGCTCAGTTGTGTAAATAGAGATGCGGTCTTGGTGACAGGTCTCTGTACTCTGCTGGTTTCCTGCAAGTGACGTTGCATTCCTACCTTCTTCTTAGTGGTGGGCAGCCTAGCTGCTGTATCAGCATTTATACACATCAGTAGCATTTAGTTTCTTCAAGGTGTGTGCTAAGCATCCCTTTGGAAACAGACCCACTGGACATCAGAACTTGAAATCAGGTTGTAGGCATGTTCTGAGGAGGGAGGTGTTGTTCAGGACTTAGACTAAAAGCATATTAGTATGCTCCCTGCCAGGATTCACTGTGCCCTTCTGCTTCATTGCTTGATATAGCCAAGCAGTGATAA